ACCTGGGAGGTGAGTGCACAGAGAGGGGCACGAGCTGAAGAAGGCTTTCTGGAGGCTGTAGCTCTTGAGCTGAGCCTTAACGCCAGATAGGAGCTGCCCATGAGAGACGTCTAGGTGTGGTTTGAGATCTCAGGCGAGCAGAGGCAGGAGAGGTGCATTCGCCGTCACACTGTCCCACACTTGACGGCCGCCGTCCTGATGGAGCACACCCCGGTCCCCTGGAGGGGCGGGGAGGGTGCACATTGACAGGCCCCACCCTGATTTCGGGGTCTGCAGGTCCCAGGCGGGGCCTGGTTTCAGCACCTGTGACAGGTCCTCAGGCCGCGTGTCCAGGGAGTACATGGAGAACCACTGGTGCGGGGCTGCAGGCTGGTGACTTGCTGTCTAGGTGACGTTTTTTCAGCTCTTCTGCCACCTTCCAAGTTCGTGGGATTGGCTCCCTTCTCTAAACCATCCTGCCTTCAAAGCCAAGCCTCCCGTTGTAGGGTTTTTTCACTGTAGCGCCTTCACTTCTGTTCTACTTCCTGTCTTAAGGAGATGCTCAGTGGTTTAACATAATCACTTGCTTCTCGGGTCACATCACAGCCTAATGTAAGTGGCCTGGTGGGGTGGCCTTGAACACAGTGATTCTGGGACCGAAGCAGAGTTCCTTCCTTCGCATGGCTCTGTCCTCCCCTGGCTCCTCAGAGCCTGTCTCTCGGACTGGGCGGCGGGGAAAGAAACACTTCCTCCTTTACCACTTTGGATCACAAGTGACACATGTCATATGTGCTCAAATTCCAGAGGCGGGAGCACGCCCAGAGCCACTGTCCAGGGACAGCCTGGCACTCTGCAAAGGGAAACATGAACCTGAGGGAGGCAGCCAGCTGTCCTTGCCGCCCCTGCCCCAGGTAGTCCTCGGGAGGCATTGGAACCGCTGAGAGAAAAGTGCCTGACATGTGCCGCTTCAGTGACGGTGGTTTGCTGTTGTTCCGACAGTTATTACTGTTGCTTGCACCTCTCTTGGGTTTGCAGATCTTTCGTAGACTCTCTCAGGTCTGGCCTGGCTTGTGCAGAGGAACACAGGACTGGACTCTCATGTCAGCTAGGGACTGTTCTCTTGGTGAGACCTCTCGTTTTTTGGCATTCATTCATTTCTTCGCTTCTTCGTTGGGTGTGTGCTGTCCCCCAGGTGCTCATTCACATGCTCTCTGGTGGGGGGAGTTACTATTTATTTCTGGTGAACTCCTCTAAAAGCAGACAGAGCTGGATTGGCAGCTAGGACCTGTGAGCTACAAGCTCTGGTGTGCCTCCTTTTGCCACGTGACCCAGGCAGGAACCTCGTCCCCCTCTCTGAGCCTTCTCCATCTCAAAAACAAGGGCATGCAAACCTGTGATCTCCGGCTGCCGTCCTGGAAGTCTTCGGGTGCCTCACGTCTCCTGTTTGCCTTTGCCATCGACCGTCCTTGGCCGTGGAAGGTCTTGAGTGCCAGCTGAAGGCCTTCAGACCTGACCCTGTGCGAATCAGTAACAGTATATACCTTTTGGACCTGAGACTCCCACAGTCCAAGGGTCCGTGTATTCCTCTTCTGAAACCCAGACCCTCCACCTGCCCCTGCCCCCCCCCCCCCCCACCAACTTTGGGAAGCTGAGGCTAATTAGGGAAGAGTCTGGGAGGCCGCCCTTCCCCATTCCTCAGGCAGTTGGGTGGAGGCCATTAAAATGCAAATCAAGGCTGTGCCCGGTGGCCCTGTGTCTCCCAAGCATCCTGACTTGTTTTCTAGGGAGAGCTTTGGGCTGCTTTGTTCTGGTCCAGTGCTGGCAGAGAATACCTCGCTGGCAATCCGGTGCAAAGCCAGCCTGAATCCCAGCCAGGCTGAGTCGGGATTAAAGGATTGACTCCATAGAGAAAAATTAAGCGTCATGATCTGTGCAGTTCACGGTGTCGCTGATAAGGGGGATCAGCCTCGAATAACACCAATCTCATTAAGAGCCTGCTGAATGGCACAGGGTAATTCCCCCTAATAAACTTCTTTTCTGTGCTGTAGGAAAATTTTTCTTGCCCCTGGTGACAGTTCAAGAGCATGTTTTGGCAGTGGTAATACCGGAGATCGCTAACATTTAGTGAGCAATTACTATGTGTCCAAAAAGGTGACTTCATCCCATCTCCTGAACAAGAGGACGTTATCATCCCCACTATATAGATGAAGAAGTTGAGGTTCACAGAACATAATCACCAGCCCAGAGTTGAACAGCTTGTAAAATGTAACATCATTTGAGCTCTTCCTTGGGTGCCAGACCTTATTCTAAGACTTTCACGCATGTTGGCTCATTTACTCCTCAGAACGGCCTTCTGAGTTAAGTGTCCCTATTAGCTCCACTCAAGAGATCTGGAA